AACAGTCGTAAAGGTTGTTGAGAACGAAAGGATCTCCGCAGCTTCAGCAGAACTGATAGATGAAAGTAGATTGCTACTAGCAGTCTTTAAACATGATAGAGTGTGAAAGTTGTTTAAATGTAATCCGATTAAAAGTTGTCACAACAACTTTCAGTAGGGGTGGGTGATGGAAGTGAAAGTGAGAATCAGTGATTCGAAACTGTGAGGACATATTTATTTCATATGACTAATGAGATGCCAAAAATTCTCATTATTCTAAACCTAACTATATTTTCCCTTTATTGTAATTTTATTACATTCCCTTCTTCTATCACTTTGTGTGGCTTTGTAAAGTGTAGTAGTTTTAACTACCCCTTTTGTGAGCAAAGTTTCAAGTTAATTATTCCTTTTTGCGCACGACACAGGTTTCACATTTCTTGAATTATTTTTTATTATCAATATTGTGAGCTTTACAAAAGATATTTACGTCGTTGTCTGTCAATCGAGGATTAATTAACAGTACTCACTAGTGCTTCTAAACGAATCACATCTACAAAATTATTATGGAAAAGCGAATGTTACAACAGAGGATCATGTGACAAATAGATAAAAAATATTACTGATGGTAGTTATTGAGAGAAATGAAGTTCTTTTGTGAAATTTCTCAACGTATACAATGATTGCGTACAAAGACTTGATATGGTTATGAGCAGTAATTTGTGCTCAAAACGTCTTCACTCAGTATTTATTTTTTTAAAATTTATTTTTATTTTATTTTGATTACATCTTGATGCCACACTGTCTTTTCGGTACAAGTATGGAATTTTCAGCATGTGATATCGGTAGCCCAAATTTTGTAGGCCAACCATAGATATCGGGTGTGCATCGTGAGGCGATCAAACCCCGGACCATGTGCATGGTCGGCGAGAGCTCTAACCGCTGTGCCACCGACGCTGTATAACACCATGTGATTTTTCAAAATAAAATCGTATCCATAATAGAGTTATACTCTACCACAGTGCCCAAGTTTTATACATATATCAGTAAACATAACAAAATATAGTCTTGAAAGGATGAAGCGAAGTTAGTTGAACAGAACAGAGGACATCACTACTTTATGAAACTTTTTGATCCAATTATACCGATGAAAAGTAGCATTTTTATAGAACTTTGATAAACAGTTTTCAAAGTAACAGTTTTATTTATAGGATGACGTTTAGAACACAACTTATTACCATTCATATTCATATCAAGTATAACTATACAACTTCAAAACTTTCGTTTTATAGTTTTATTCATTCCTTCCTATTTGTCATAGAGGTGGCGAAATTCTCCAGATGTCTGGGACAGATGTTGAATCATTACTATTAAAAATACTTTCAGTTTATTTGATAAATAAAGTTTCCATTGTCAATCTCTCCCTCCACCCTGTTTCACTAGATTTAAAACTGTCATCTTATCCTGTCTTATTGTATAGTTGTATGTTATTACATGTACTGCTATAGCTGAACTATTCTTCAGATTTCTTATCTTATTAAGGTCACGTAATCTGGATTCTGCTAGGTTTTTATGCTCCGCTATGTATTTGACCTGACAATCATAGCACGGTATTAAGTAAACTAAATTGTTCCATTTTAAAGGCTCCACAGGACTTTTTAACCCGACAAAGCTTGTTTCTAATTAAGTTTGTGGGTTTGAATGCCAGCCACTTTTATTCCAGCATTATTAAGAATTCTTCATAAGTTTCCCGAGGTTCCTTCTCTGTTTGGAAGTACTACTGATGTTTTAAATTCCCTATTATTGGAGTTGTTATTACTCTGTGCTGGGCAGAAGGCTTTTTTAAACAACAAATAAGGAATGCTTCAACATCTGTCCCAGATATCTGGAAATTCAACTACCCCTGCGACAAATAGGAAAGAATAAAGAAAACTATAGGATGAAAGTTTTGAAGTTGTGTAGTAATAACAGATATGATTATGAATTGTGTTCTAAACGTCATCCAGAAAATAATACTGTTTCACTGTGTGACGCACCTAGTGAACGAATTAGTATGAAATTAAGTGCTACCACACTGCCCAATTTCTACGTATATATTAGTTTTTAAAGGGCATCGGAAGAAAAATTAGAAAATAACAAATCACTCTGACGTATTCAAGGGACAATGATTGTCATTTGAATTTGAAGTGTTTCCAGTCTCGTGTTAATCATCTCTTTCATGATGGCACTCAGTATGTTGTGATGTCAGTATTTCAGTCTTTTATGGGAACCACAGTCGAATTTCAGAGTGAAGATAGAGTGTATTGTAGAAAATTTCACCAAGGTTGTATAATTTAAGCACATCATGTTCTAAAACACTGTAAAATGTGAAAGGGTACTTAAGTATAATCTTCAGTTTATCAAACTTTAGGTATAAAAAAATAACAACAGCTAAAAAGAAATCTATTCACCTTGTGATTCCTAAAAGAGCACTGAGATTATGTAATATATGAATTCCTAATTTTCTTGAGTGTGCCCTTCTTAATAAATCAGATATATATATATAGATGAATAAAATTCGAAGAAATAGACTACACAGTTAAAGTGAACGACAAGTTTTCAAATGGAACGTTTCGACATAGTTGATAAGATCATTGCAGATGTATGAATCCTTTCAGGATTAGCCTGTTTGGAACCTTATTTTTTCACTTCTTTATTTTCTTCTAATTAAAATAAGGATTTCTAATGAATATTATTTATGAATCACTTGTCAATCATTCTGATATTTGCACCTATTTTTAACAGTGAATGCTAATTTCTGCGTCATATTCGTTACTGAACGAAATTTCTATTTCATATCCGGTACTTTGAATGAATGAATTCATATTTTGAACTGAGATTTCCTGGTTTAGGAAATGAAGATATTTTTAGATGACTATAACTGAAGCAGAAATTGCAATCCTGTTTTTAAAGTGAATTAGAAGTGATGCTATGCAAAGTTATGAGGTCATTGGACTTCATCATGAGCTGACATCGGTTAGAGAACGATTAGAAAACCTGGAAGTACTGGACAGATGTTTCGTCAGCTTAGTTTGGGACTCTTCCTAAGTACACATCCATCAAAGGGAGTTCGAACCCAGAACCTTGTGGTTACAGGGTGAACTCGAGTCCTGTAACCAGTCAAATCCCTACAAACTGATACTTGAATATTAGGTCAATGTTTTATCAAATGAGTCTGGTGAAACAATTATTAAAATTGAATAAATAAAGTTAGAATAGAAGTAGATTCGCAGCCGACTATTGCAAAATATGGTAGTGCAAAACCTATGAGCTTTAATTACTATCTCTACACTTACAGTCCTATTTGAACAGAGTTTAGATGTAACAGTGAGTTAGAGCATGGTACCATCATTTTTTTAAATACAGTTAGAGAACACTCCAAACTACATGACTGCATGGCTGCTGAAAATAGAATATACGAAAACTTTAGAGATTTTTGACTACCTTGCTTCCTTAATAATGTTAGATGGAGTAAAATGATAGGTACTATCAGGGTAAGGAGTAGTAAGAAAGATATATGCATCGATTGTGGTGGTTAGGACATTTGTTAAACACACTAGATTACTGCCTTTCTCAACAAACAATATCACCTAAAATTAGACTAGTCTGGAAAAGAGTTGAGTATAGCGAGACCAAAAGTGTTAATAACCCATGAAGCCATCGTCCATCTTATTTTCTGGAAGCATTTTATGGTGCTTCATTTTATACTATGCCAATACGGTGCGCTTCTACTTGATATGTAACACTAGCGGCAAGATGCATAGGTGTTTGTGAAATTGGTAAAATAGAGGGTACTAAGAGGAAGTTCGATTGTAATCCCTTGTAAAACAGAACTCGTTGAATTCATGTAGTGATCTACATTATTGCTAATGCATCTAGTGGGGCTATATGGAATATATTCATCCAGCAGATGACAAAATGAGGTACTTTAATTTCCAGTAACTGTTGTTCCTCGTTTCCACGTCACAGAACATCTACTAAAATACAGAAGGCTGAAATCTAATCTGTGATTTTAATTTTGTAAAATGAGTATTACAATATCACTGGATGAACTAGTGAACCATAAACACTACCACAGAAAGTATAAATTGTCTTAGCTGTAACCGAAAGCAAAGAATCCAACTGCTTCTTTGCACTCAGATAAAAAGCCGAAAACGCTTGATATTGTGACTTACAAGTAGGGAGATGAAAACCTCATATTCACTGATAGATGAATGATGGTGTTGAAGAATTCAACAGTCCTGTAATTCCGAAAGTTTTGTCTAATTATATGTATTTTTTTATTGTTTTACGTTCATAGTGGAACACAAGGCTTCCAGCGAGTGCATCGAAGTTTCGGTATAAGTGGCACTTATTTTTACGGGATTGGATTGCTTGCTTCATGCCCGACCTCCTTTCTTTACCAGTCTTGTTACTGGCTTAGCGAGGTTTTGGGCCGTGTCGGCTGGAGATTCAACCCTGAGCCACATGAGCGCGTGGTCGGCGAGCATCCTACCAATGTGCTACCTATGCAATTATTTGTATACCTGTAATTACTAGCATTTAACGTCATATATGGAATTCTTTTTTTGCTTCCATTTGTAAAATTAACATTTACTGATTCAAAAAGCAAATCTGTCTTTGTATTTCTTTTAAGTATCTGACCAAAATCTACTTTGTTATCACTTTTCGTAAAATTCTATGCCTGAGTGGTTTCTATTTTCTTTTCACTTTAGTTCTCTTTTATCCAACACAGTTATATTTAGATATTTTTATAAGATGTTGCAATTTAGCATACATTGTATACATCTATGGCTTCCAATATAATGAAAGCAAAAGCTTACTTCATAATGTGTGTATTTAGAGAAATGATTTCTTTTATCAAAATTTTATGCTTAAAATTCACTATGATTGATTGATTAGATCAGCACAAAGGTGAATAATATCTATTTTAATTCTGTCTATAATTATAATTAAAAGTAATACACTTTCTTTATACAATCTAGAAACCGGCATTTTTACAAAGAGCCTCTGTAGCAGCAATGGGATGTAGAAACAAGGTGGGTCGCTTACTCTTTATTGCACAGGCATAGTAAAAAAAATCAAAACAGCACAAACAAACAGCAGATGCAGACGAAAAGCTCTTCTGTTCAGTGTACTTTTAGTTGCAGTTATTTCTTTTCCTTTTCGCAGCATGCTAACTTAACTCTTGCATCTTCGTTTTTCTACTCTATATGCACTATATTCGCATAACTTTTCGCTTTTATGCATTGCCTACTTCGACTATATATGTTGGAGTTTATTTATTGCTTTCATGCACTGAATCAAAATTAAATGAGATTATTGATTGTTTTTCAATCGTGCGTCCCTGTGACACTGAACGTAATGTACTAGTCTCTAACGGTGCATAAGCTCGCAAGAATAATTATTGTTGGTTTACAATGATATAAGTAATTTGAGTGCTGTGCCTTGTTATGACTTATAATTTAATTAATTTTATTCCTTTAAGTGCCCAGTGGAATATAGGGCTTCAAGCTAGAGCTTCAAAGCTTCAGTAGCAGTGGTTTCATTTTTACCGGGGTGGGGTTGCCAGTCTCACAACCAACCTCCCCTCTTTGCCAGACTTATTCCGAGCTAAGCGAGGTTTAGGGGTGCGTCGGCCGAGGATTGAACTCTGGCTGGCGAGCATTCAACCTATAATGAATAACAATGAAAATACAAATTTTTTAACAAGTGTATTTATCTTGTTAATCCCAGTTGGGATCAGTTAGAGATTTGATTTAGTTAATATAAGGCGAATATCATTTTGAAGTCAACTGTTAATAAGACTGGACTTATTTTCTATAGTTTGGTTTGTAAGGGTTAGTTTTGTTTTTACGAGTTGGTCACGGATTAATATCAGTTAGAGAACCATTGAAAACCCACCATGGAGTACTGGATAGCTGTTTCATTCTAGCTCTTTCGGAATCATCGCCAGTGCGCACCCACCACCAAGGTTCGAAACCAGGACCTTCCGGTTACAAGGCAAGCTTGTGTACCATTCAGCCACTGGGACCCGATTCAATGACCAGCCCATGATTTCTAACTTCTATCAATTCGTGAATTAGCGCAACCCCAGCCATTGTCGTAGATGGGACATCCTTCCTCACACGTGACATCTGAATGGACCTCACTGGTCACGACTTCTCACTAGAACTCCAGGAAACTTCATCCTGAATGAAGTCGCTAGCGAGAAATAGATTAATTTTCAATAGTTTGGTTAGAATTCATGAGCCACTGAATCAGGTGCCAGTGGCTGAATTTTATACGAGCTCTCCTTTTAACCAGAAGGTCCTGGGTTCTGACCCTGTTAGTGAGTGTGCACCGCCGATGATTCCTAGACCAGGATGAAACAGCTGTCCAGTACTCCATGGTTTTCAATGCCTCTCTAACTGATATCAATACGTGATCAACTCGTAAAAACTGGACTTATTTGTTTCATTGCAAACTTAGCGGAGATAAAGGCATCTGAGTTGTTACTTTCTTGTAGACAGATTAAATATTTCCAGTGTTGAACTGTGAATACACTAAGTGAAAAGCCTGCATTTATTTCTAGCACACTTTTATTACGATATCTTCAAATATGCTTCCATTTATAATGTGTATGCTTATACGTATAGATGTAGAAAACGAGACCAAATAGAAGACGACCAATTGGTTTTAATCTTAACTACCTCACTAATAGGGGAGTCTATGCAAGCGTCGTTCAACAACACCAATAATGTGCCATAGAAACATTTTCAAAACACGTAGAGTGATTACAATAATTTAATAACACCCATGGTTACATTTGGGGGACGTAATATTCAACGAAGTGACTCTTTTATCAAGTTATACAACCGTATATGTATGATTTTCGAAAACTAAATCCCAAAAGAAAATAGTGAATTGCCAAAAGCATATTTACAATTATATTCATAGTTGAACATTAGCCAGCGAGATACTAAGTATTGCATTATACACTGGCAAAGCTTACTCTTTTTTACTATTTAATTAATAATTTGATAGACGAGTGTTAGAGATAAACAAATTTACCTAATTAAGTTTACATTTTAAATACCATTCATGCGAAATTTTTCACAAAACAGACAAATTTAAGCTGTCTCTTAGAGTGTGATTAATTTCGAACCATCTTCATATGGAACTAAACTAGCTTAGCTTATTGTTTTCGCATTCTTTGCTTTTCTAGTGGAATATAATGCCACAGACTTTAAAGTCTCATTACCAGTGGGGTGATAGCTTAACGCCTAAACTTTCCTCTTTTCCAAACTTGATACGAGATAGATGAGGCATTGGAGAGCTCAGGTAGGAAAATGAAACCGGACTTCCTGAAAGGGGCAGCGAGCATTTTGCCTGTGAACCACCAACTCCTCAATTTTAAACTTTATTAATTCTGTTATATATGTCCAAACCATGCTCACTTTTGACATCAGAATAAAGGTTTTTGTATTTCCAAATGAATGAAAAACAAAACGATACTGTTGTTTTTACTGACATTTCACTATTTAATGCTAATAGCTTTATCAAAGTAGTATTAAACCGGAATTTACAAAATCTCAGCATATATATGTAACAAAGAGTTAAGAGGTGATAAAATAGGCTTAGGTCAAGTTAAAAGGACTTATTAAAAGTCAAAATAACAATGAAGATCACCAAACCAAATAACAAAGGTGATAGTAGATCTGTTATAATATCAAAACAAAGTTTACTAACTTGGTCATCGTTCATCAGTCTGGGGTTATTTTTCTTTGTCAAGTTGGTCAATCGGTAAAGATAACAAAACCAAGTTTAGATTGTTGGATTTTATCAGTGTGTAAAATGATAAAAGTAGTGTATGTTTACATAGTGAACTTGCTTATCAATTTCGTGTTGATTTTGTCACTTCATTGGGGAGGGAGGTGTTGTAACCAGGTCAGATTCTGTTTTAGTCCATCATTCCTATTCATCTCATACAATTTTGATCCCACTTGATATGGGGTGCTTCTGATATTAGACGTTCTTTATGATTTCTGAAATGCTCTTTCTGGATAATCTCAATATTGTCAAAATCAATTTTGTGGTCTGATTCTATAGCGTGTAGACCATCCATGGCTGATGATTTTTCAAGCTTTTCTAGTTCATCCGGATTTATTGGTGGTCGAAGAGATGCTCTACAGTATTCATTTCTTCTGATTTTGATTTCTCGAGATGTTTGTCCGATGTATATCGCATCGCATTCCAAGTATTTAATTTTATAGACACAATTAGATGCAGAATCTTTAGAGATTTGGTCTTTTAATGAACAAGGTTGTTTCGAAGTGTGTCTGATGTTTTGAAGAAAACTCTAATGTCGAGCTTATTAATTACTCTTCTGATATCGTCTGATGTCTCTGCTCTATATGCAATGACAGCTGTTGAAGTCCATGTCTTCGACCACACTTAATGTCTGTGTTGATTTTGTTGGTGAAGTTCCTTGGGTAGTTGTTTTGCTTGGGAGTTTCACTAATGTTTGATATCATTAATTCTGCTTTAATAATTCATAATACATGGAATTCACTTTTGTAGCACTAAATTCTTACTCAGCGTATTTGTATTGTTTTGTCTTACCGCATTTACTAGGCAAAGAAGTAGAATGAAGCGGGACAGAGTGTTCTGCCATAATTCTGGGGTTCTGTTAATCTTTTAAGTTACATCTGATAATTATTTGATGGTTTCCATCTGTCACTGAGATTTTTTTGTAAATATTAAATTCCTGTTATTTAAAATAGCGACTATTGGAAAATTAACAGATAAGCTATGCCATCATAAAAATGTCCATGTGTCTGTTTTTCTCCTGAAATCTACACCAGTTAAATAGCTGTAATGTGACATTACATGGTTAATATTCAAAACTTTTACTGGAATGAAACTAACGTTTATACTGACTAAGGTTCCGAAAAAGCTTACCGGAAATATCTGTGATTATAACATTGATTGGTGTGAGTTAGAGTCTCCGAAAAAAATATTGATCCGTTCCACGTTACATATATATACATCTTACGAATGAATGCCAGTGAATAAGAGACCTAGACATAGAACTTCCTTCCTTCAACCATATGGCAAGAAATCGATATCTGTTTCTTTTATCATGACAAAAATATCCCAATGTCAGTTAATTCATGGATCACTTCATTCCAACCAATTAGCTAAATGATTGTCCAGAGACTCTAAATTCAATCTCTGGAAGGTCTGGCTAATAGGTATGTATTGTTAAATAGATCTAAACTCGGAGAAAACACATATCCACTGCTCAGTGGCTTTGAGTGATTCCTTGGCTGATATCAGACTGTGATGCTATCTACATTCGAATTTATGTAAATTAAACAGATTCTTTATGCAGTTTTTTTTCCTTCACGTTCCCAGTGGAACATAAGACCTCAAGCTAGTGGCTTGTAGCAGTTTCTGTAGCAGTGTTTATTTTACAGGATGGGGTTGCTAGCCTCATGCCCATTCTTTCATCTTTACCAGCATTATTTCTGGTTTAGCAAGGTAAAGGAGTGCGTCTGTGGCCGAGGATCGAATCCCGAAACATGTGCATGGTTGGCGAGCGTCCTAACCACTGTGCCACCGACACACATTTCTACATTAGCAGACATATTTATAGCATTTCTTCTTTACCACTCACTAAGGAAACAGTGAATTTAACTGTTCTAAAGTTAACTTTTAGGTTAATAAAGATTAAACTATTTATTTATAGCTTCAGTTTCACAGCTTATCATAAATCAAAATTAAAGTGAATAGCGTTTATGCATAATCTTATGAAATACTTTTTTTTCTATAGTGTTATTTGTTAAGCATACAATTTAGCGTATGACAGATTAAATGAAAAGCTTATTGAAGCAAACTGAAATACCTCTTTTCAATGGATTTCATGTTCAGAATTAAACAGTCATATATATATGTTATGTGCAAGTGTATGTATTGTTAGAATGAACGTGAACCGACTAGTCTGCTCATATATAATAGTACCACTACTACTACTACTATTATTATTAGAAGATTTATTTTAGGCGAGTTAATTAAAACACTATATGTTATAAGGAAATAAATCAGCCAAAAGTTTGATTAGAAAATGTAATTATATATACACACATACACACACTTCCTTTCTTTTGGGTATTTCTAGCTTTTCGTAGTGTTCAAAAAAGTCTTTTTGTTTTTACACTAGTTGTTTAATGCACTTTGCTCTATAAATTTTATATTTTGTCTTGTTTTTTTATAAGCTTACTAGTTCATATTTTGTATTTGTACATTAGAAGAAAGTTAAACTATCATTTTATTCTATTTTCGACATTGAAATTTACCGCCCGCCTCTCCCCCGTCTTCTCCTTCTTTATCATGTAGAAAAATACTTCTATAAGTAGAGGATCTGTTTCAACAAATGATTTCAAACCTAAGGTGGGTAAAAACAGCATGTGTAGTAATTAATGCACGCTACTACTGCCAGCTAATACTGACAAGCAAAAAAACAGCGAAACAAAAAATAATAACGCTAATATGTTTAATGTGCTAATTTACCTCAGCTTCACTTATTTAAAATATATATTACATATTAATCTTTTATATTATTATCATTAATAAAGTCTTGTGATAAAAGTTTTCGTGCTTCAGATTATTTCTTTGGTCGAAAAATCAAGTATACATGCTTCAATACAGAGTATTTATTCACGTTGTACAATTGCATTAACACTAATTGTGTCACGAAATGCATGTGTCTGTCTGTCTGTTTTCGACATAGAACTTTGCATCGATGCGCGGCAGTTCAAATCGCCATACTCCAGGTAGAAGAAATGCATAATAGGGACAGTAAACAGAGGTGTGAGACAAAGGAGGAATAGTAATAACGAACGAAGAACAATATAGTTTCATTGAAAATCATAAGTCACAAGGAGTGGATGCATCTGCGCCAGCCATCACCGAGAACGATTTGGAGCCATATCACCAATAGTTTCCAGCCTTCATTGGTTTTTACCGTCCTGAGGACCCCAACCAGTCAGGAAGTCTACACCTTCCTACATGGCTGGCTTAAACTAACTGTTGTGGATTGATTTCATTGACTGTTGAGGCCATGTTTTCGTTTGAACGCCGCGAGGTCTTTTCCAGCCTGACCCTATGTCAGCTAACATTACCCGTCGGTCGAGGAAGGCGATCGATAGCTAGGCAAAATGCATATAGTTTATGCATTTAGTTCTCATGAAATGATAATTATAGATTTCAAAGAAACGTCTCTCAATTAACAGAAAAAAAAACAAAGAATGTTCCCTGTTCTCCGCTTCTTGAATAGATTCAAACTGGTTCATATTTACTTATATCTGAAATGCTTATATGTAACTTGACTTAATCAGATGAAATAAATTTAAAAAAATAAAGTGTTTGTGTGAAAAAAATAATAATGACAAACATGTAGTAAAATGGTAACGAATGATTGACATTGCTCCAAAAGTACATAAAAATATAATACTTTATGAATGGTGGTCACCTAATCCAGTGTATATTACTTTCCACCCTGCATCGGTGAAATACATATTTTCATGACAGTTTATTTACTTACCTGTCCCCGGGTTCAGGATGATCAAGAATGCTCCAACCGCGGGTGGAGGATCCCCACTGCAGCTCGGTGTTGAGTTGAAACTCGCAACGGACCCTAGCAGGGCGTGTAGTTTTTGTCAGTAGGCAGGCCTCACGGTCCTCCCCTTATAAAAATGCGTCGGTGGTACAGCGGTTAGGACACTCACCGATCATGCACATTGTCCGGGTTTCGATCCCCTGCCGACTCACACCTGATATCAATAATTGAACAGCAAAATTTGGGATCCCGATATTACAAGCTGAAATTTCCATAATTGTAACAAAATACGGTGTGAAATCAAGCTATAATCAAAATATAAAAAAATTTAACAAGTATACACTTCACAAAGTGTTTTCATAGGCAAGGGTATATAAGAGGAACTGGTCTATTGGTCATTTGAAGTAAAATAAACTGGTAAATAGCTAAAAGGCTTTGCTGAATAAGTTTTAAAGTTTCCGTGTTACCTTAAATTGTTGTTTTGAAGATGTAAATGCTTTACAAATAAAGATATAAACTCAGCGTTATCTCAAAGTGAAGGTGAAATGCATTTACCTTGTCTGAGGTTAAGCAAAGTGGAACAACTAACACCTAACAAACTAAGTGCACTACTCTTCTTTGGTTAGTTTCCTGCATTGCATCGAGTGGGGTTACTTAAGGCTCTGAGTAATTATCACGATCAGACGTTGAGCTACTAAGAGGGCTAGAAATTGAAAAAAGATAGAATAATTACAGATAAAACTGATTCGTATTTTCAAGTGTTGCTTTGTAGGGATTTGATGGGTTATAGGATTTCATCATGAGTTGACAATAGTTACACAACCATTGGAAAACCTGAGAGTACTGGACAGCTGTCTCGTCAACCTAGTTTGGGACTCTTCATCAGTACGCACCCACCGCCATGGTCCAAACCCAGGACCTTCTGGTTACAAGGCGAGCTCGTATACCATTGAGCCACCGGGACCCGTTCCAGTGGCCCATGAATTCTTACTTCTGCCAATTCACGACATAGCGCGAAACCTAGCGAATGTCTTCACACCCGACCTGTTGCACCCTACTGGTCACGACTTCTCACTAGAACCCCAGGTAACTACCTACCTGAATAGGGCAAGTCGCTAATGAGCATTTCATCGATATTCAAATGTCCCAAACTGGGATGACGAAACAGCTGTCCGGTACTCCCAGGTTTTTCAATGGTTCTCTAACCAATATCAGCTCATGATGAAATTCTTATCCATATTTTATTGGATCTTTAAAACTTCACACAGGGCTAAAATGCTTTATCAGTTGAAAAAATTTCGGCAGAGTATATTCATGTAGTAGCTTTTCAGTTTGTTCAATCAGCTATTAAATATTCTGTTCAGCTTAGGAATTTATGGTAGGTATTTTGCATCATTAACTCGTTTACTATTAAGTGACTTCCTTCTTTTCGCTAATGTCTAACTATGCATAGTTGAGTTTAATATAACATATTCGCTTTTTGTTTTATTAGTGAAAATATTTGTTTGCCTGCAAATATAAAAGTAATTGTTAGCTAACATTAGGGATTTGAGTAATAAATGCTAAAACTGATCAATTTTAATTCAATTATAAGAGAGGTGAATTTTTCCACACACAAATGTATTTTGCTTTTTATTTATATTCAATGAATGTTGTATCCCTCCCTCTCTGTGTTGATATTTCTGTGCACTTGTATGAATTATGCACTTTAATAATAATAATAATAATAATAACACATACTACATTGAATGCTAATTTCCGCATTAAAAACAACCAAATAAAAATGAAACGGTTAAACACACCTATGCATTAAACTGTTTGTCTCGATTGGGAATTGTTTTAAAAAAAGAAGACTATTTTAAACAAAACATTCGTAAATTTTCGCAAATAAACATTTCTTTTTTTGCAAGTGTGTGCTTTCAACATATATATGAATATGTATATATATTATATATTCGAGTGTTGGTTTGTAGGGATTTTTTTTTTGATTGGTCACAAGAATTCATCATGAACTGACATCGGTTACCGAACCGTTGGCAAACCTGAGAGTACTGGAAAGCTGTTTCATCAGCCTAGTTTGGAAGTGTTCGCCAATAAGCATGCACCGAAAGGGGGGGAGTTCGAACCCAGAACGTTCTGGTTACAAGGCTAGCGAGCTCGTAAACCATTAAGCCCCTGGGATCAGAGTCAACGGCCAGACCATAAATTCTAACATTTTCCAATTCACAACATAGCGCGACCACTTCGCAATGTCTTCTTCCATGAGTAAATGTCCTCACCTTATATATATATATATATATATATATATATCGACCTTGTTGTTACCGCTTACGCCAGTAAACATGCTAGCACTTACCTTTCTAACACCAAACATTCTGTTCAATTTTAGCTTTGATACCGATATGCTAATATTTTGTTGTCAGAATTAACTGAGACTACCCATAATCTATGTAGAATTTTATTTATTGTTAATGTACTAACTGGATGCAATACTGCAGTGAAATGCTGAAAATTCCATTCTGTATCACAAGTACTGTTTTGGAATAAAGCAAATTATTATTATTCAAGTATTGGTTTGTAGGGATTTGATTGGTTTCAGGATTTCATCATGAGCTGACATTAGTTACACAACCATTGGAAAACGCAGGAGTACTGGAGAGCTGTTTCGTTCTAGTTTGGGACACTTCAGCAGTACTCACCCACCGCAACGGTTCGAACCCAGGACCTTCTGGTTACAAGGCTAGCGGACTCCTAGACCATTAAGCCACTGGGACCCAATCCAATGGCCAGCCCATGAATTCTACCTTCTGCCAATTCACGACATAGCGTGACGCCTAGCCAACGTCTTCGGCGAGTATTTGTCCTCACACCCGACCTTCTGCACCCTACTGGTCACGACTTCTCATCAGAAGCTCAGGCAACTAACTACCTGAATAGGGCAAGTCGCTAATGAGCATCTCATTGTTTTTCAATTGTTGGTTTGTAGGGATTTGATTGGTGGGTGCGTACTGCTTAAGAGTCCCAAACTAGGACGAAACAGCCATCCAGTACTCTCAGGTTTTCCAATGGTTCTCTAACTAATGTCAGCTCATGAGGAAATCCAAATTTATTATTATTATATGTATTTATGCTTAAGTACATTAGCAGGGGATATCCATAGGTTGTCAGACCTATTTTCTATCAAATATTTTAATTTCATATTCGCTTTATATTCTTTCTTAGACGTGTCCTACTGTTCAGAGATCGTGTTTATCATGCGGTGATCTTAATCAACAGGTTGGTAATAAAATAAATAGAGATAAATTGCAAAAAAAATAATAGAGTGCGAAAACAATGAATCGCTGAAATTTCGCAGCTGACATAATACAAACAAACAAACAAACCAAATGCCTAACCAAAGCTAGCGATTAATTGCTTTAAAAAATAATAATAATAATAACAATAAAAGTGACTGTTTTTTTATTCATTCATTTATTATTATTTTTTTAAGGCTTCAATTTTGTTTACGTAATAAAAAAATAAATATATTTTTGGCAGTTGCTTTGACGATAAAAAATAAATTCAAAATGTATACTTTAGAGAATTAATTAGTGCTTGGCATGTTTCTCCTTCAAGCTATTAATTAATATTGCGAGTATTTTTCACTTTTTATATGCATTGAATTTGACGTTGCTGAACAGGTAAAAGTGCCAATCAATTAACAAATAAGTGTATAATGATGATAATATTTTTTTTCATAGTAAGATTATTATAATGACTGGAGTTACGTAACAGCAGCTATGATTTGCAATTAATAGTGTTCTCTGAGCTGGTTGGTTTAGTTGCGGAGCTTTCGTCGTCTTTCTGGATGGCATCTTCAGCTCAGTATTTAGCATTAAGTCAAATGATTTAAAATCTCCATGAATGATGATACAATTGCGTCTCCTGGTGACCAACTCTCTTTACATATGTATTGACCGTTTTCTATTGATTGTGATTTTAAACTTTTTGGTCACCAGGAGACGCAATTGTATCATCATTCATGGAGATTTTAAATCATTTGACTTAATGCTAAATACTGCGCTGAAGATGCCGTCCAGAAAGACGACGAAAGCTCCACACTTAAACCAACCAGCTCAGAGAACACTGTTAATTGCAAATCATCCAACTGAGTTACAAATCTTTTCTATTATTTCAGCAGCTATGATTCTTTAATGCTCGATAAATCAAGATTCTTTCAGCCTGCTCCTTTGTCATATCTATGTATATATATATATATATATATGCATAAATTCTTTTTGTTCATTTTATTTTATTTATCAGCTTTCTCTAGGCAGTAGAGAACAAGGAAGCAGTTCCCTATCTAAAGCGCTTAGTATTCATCATGAATATCAACATCCATATCATCGATATAATCAACCATTAACTAATTGTATGTCAACTGGTTCAGAAGCCTGCACTGTTATTTGTGGACAAGTGGAATTTTTAAAAGCACCAATTGTTATCCTGTTGAGATTAAATAAAAGTATTCAACGTTCATGTATTTCTGAAGTAGATATTCCTGTACGCTTTATATTCATTTTTATTGGACCACAAATTGATGATTGGAATTATGCTGAATTAGCACGAATATTTGGTGTCATGATGACTAATGATGTAAGTTTGAAAGTTTTTATTATTTTTGTTCATCATAATTTACAATATTTAGTGGTGATGATAATAATAATCATATGTTATGCTTTGATCCGGTCATTCTCAACTGTTTTCCATTTTAGTCACATTTCAATTAATGTGTCGTGTCGAGGATGGAAGTGTATCATCCTGATTGTCATATGTCATGGCTAACTCGATAAATTCTGTTTAATAATGACGTTGAGTGACTTTACCTGTCTATCCAACACCCGAAGACTCGCCTTATTATTCTGACTGTATTTTTCCAATGATTAAAAATGCTAATTTAAATTTTCAAGAGAATGGATACTGAACAAATAGTACTCTTTTCGATAACTTCATCATCAGGTTCTACAGTTATATATACATTGCAGTGTATGAATGAATGAAAGAATGAGTGTTATGAACAACAATAATGCTGTTTAAATAACATCGAATCAGTAATATTGATAAATTACAACTCAATAGCATCAACATGAAATAAGCTGAATGCCACAAAAATTAGGAAAGATGATATTACAAATTCATGAATTTATAGTCTCTACTGAAGGCTGGCCAGGGCAGTAGTAGGGACTGGACTTGCTTCCTTTGAACACAGAGCACTGGTTGATTCACGCCAATTGAGGTACCCTCTGCTGTTTGAAGCATGCGGTGCTTCGATGATTTCGGCAATTTATTAGGCACCCGGTAGATTATAGAGAAGGATTCTTCCACGCTGGCCGGCTTTGTGGCCAGTTTGCACCAGATGGTGTAATATCGAACTACTTAGCCATGCTGGGAGATGTTTTGGAGTGAGCATGAAAAATCAAGTTCCTAGAGCAACGACCAATATAATTTGCCCCACCATCAGTGCAGTTGAATTGGTAGATACAATTTGAAGTGGCTAGCTAGTCTAGGTACTTCATCTTTCAGTCGAGGTAGCACCATCGGTCGTGTTGAGAATAAGACGTGTAGTTTGCCAGCATTAAAAGTTATTTGAACTGATTTTCTTAATTTTCTGGTAATTATCTCACTTGTTATATCGCCCTTGAATTGTGGCCGTATATAAAGTGGCTTTTTGTTTACAGATAACGAGTAGTCCTTTTCTGCTTTCTTTGTCATGTGTTTCTTGATAAATTTGTCGGGATAGCCATTTTCAATCAAAGTTTCATATACAATGCTTAATTAATCTTCAATTACTTCTTCTGAGCATATAGTTCTAACTCTGTGGCAGAGGGTCTTTAGTAAAGGGTCCCAGTGGCTTAATGGCATACGAGCTCGCCTTGTAACTAGAAGGTCCTGGGTTCCTGCTGATGAAGAGTCCCAAACTAGGACGAAACAGCTGTCCAGTACTCACAGGTTGTGTGCGTCGGTGGCACAGTGGTTAGGACACTCGCCGACCATTCACATGGTCCGGGGTTCGATTTCCTGCCAGCGAACACCTTAAATCTATGGTTGGCCTGAGAAATTTGGGCTACCGATATCACATGCTGAAAATTCCATACCTGTACCAAAAATTACGGTGTAGAATCAAGCTGCAATAAAAAATTCTTTCATAATTCATAGGAACCAAGCTGTGAAAATGTGTGTATTGTTCTGTCCAAGTACTTTTCCTATGCAAATTTCTTTTTATGCTACCATCTGGTTTTCTTGTAAGTAGGACATCCAGAAAGGCAATTCTGTCTTGGGATTCCTCTTCGCATGTGAATTTCATAGCCGAATGTACTTCATTGAATTCAGCAATTATTGTACTCCTATAAGAATTATTATTACAATGTTTTTCAGCTAATAAAAACGGTATAACAAAGGCATCTGTGACAAAAAATAACATTAATCGTTCCGTATCTTTATCAACGGTCATGCTCCACAGCCGTAATGCAAGAAAGGTCGAACTGGTGGACAATATGCACTCTGGAAACCATACATGCTCCGAAAGTAATGCAAGCTGGGAAGTACCAAACTAGCTTTTTGTCAACATTCTGAGATTTCATCTCCAATTAGTCCTCTAGGATTGAATTAACTTCCTCAGTTAGTGATTGAATCATTCATTCAACCTTTTCCCCTCTCTGTTTATAAAATCTTTGTCAGTGCACCGTGGTCCTCGAGTATCATCTCAAATTCGACAAGAACAATATAGGTCTGATCACGTGAAGGATACGTTAGATCCATAACGGAAAACTCAGCCAGGGGTTTGGAGTAAACACAAGAGTCAGTCAGACAAAGGTGCTTATTATCACCAGTGATATTCCTAATTGTGGTGGACTGACTGGATTATGCGTCAGACAGTGAGAAGACAGGGACATCCTGGACCGGCCAAAGTGAAGAACCTAGAAGACCTGGATTTCGCGCCTGGATGATTTATGTTTGATGTCACTGTCACAAAATTAAAGACCTACAAGCGAGAACCGACAAACTGGTTGAAGAAGCAGCCAGCGAAAACCTGACTTCAGGTGAACATAGACAAGACGGAGGTGATGAAAATAACCAGCCAACAACAACAGCACCAACACCCACTGCCAACAACAATCAACGGGGGGATTTGAAAGAGGTTACTTCATTCTCTCACTTATCTAGGCAGCATTGTCTCAACTACAGGAGGTACGGACGAGGATGTCAAATCGAGCGAGAATCGGAAAGGCGAGAAACATACACATTCATCAACCTGAAATCAATCTGGAAATCTTCGTCACTCAGCCAGCATCAACAACAGAATTCGGTAGGATTTTCAACACAAACGTCAAGTCAGTTCTCCTATACGGATCAGAAACTTGGCTAACGGGTCAAAAAGAGTATTTCCAACAGCCTGTTGCAGACCAGACCTTTATCAACCAACAACTGTCTTCGCTGGATCTATACTGAAGAGCACATGGTCGGGCTGGGCCGGAAAGAATCACCAACAAGAAACTATGGCTGGGAACAAACAAAACAAGAACCAATCGCCAACCAACAAATATGCGGTCAATCGCTGAGGAGACATCGCTGGGTGATATCGCGCGTCAAGGCCTCGAGTGGAACCCGAAAGGGAAGCGGCGATTGGGTCTTCAGTGCAAGGGTGATATGGAGGAGATCATGTGAAGAGGAGTTGAAACAGCATGGACTAACATGGATGCGGGTGAAAAGTAGAGCAGAAGACAGAAGCAAGTGGAGACGTGCAGCTGGAGCCCTATGTTCCACTAGGAACCCAAGGGTATAATAATAACAGTATGGAAATCCCTAGTGGATCCTTAGTTAAACGGAATACAAACAAGTCAAGCAGTTATGCTACTGTTATATGTATATGCTTTGGACAGATTATAAAAATATTAGCCGAAGAATGTGGAAAATATATAACATCACGGAAAAAGTATGTTAATTTATCGAACGTGCTGGACCAATACTAAATAATTACAGGCTGAAAACAGTTAATAATAACACTCTTGTTACAGACATTTTTTGATTATGTTAAATATTGTTAGTAAGTTCCGTCAATAAACTTTTCATTGATATTAGTTACATGGATAAATGGTTAGCACTGTTAGTCGTATATTAAGCTAAATATCTACCTATATGCGGTGGGAACTGGTTTCAGAGCTTAAAAATTCTTGTTGTCTGTAGAAAACTGATAACAGACCTTGTGGAGGCTGAAGTTGCATTAAAGATTGCCGTTTGTAAACATGTAACTCTTGAAGTCTTAAGGTTAATACTTATCGTGTGGACAAGTTAAACGAAGTGATGTTGTGAAACACTTATTTGAAGACCTACTATAAGAACCGTTTAACTGTGTTACATATATATCACTGCTTAATGAGTACGTAATTTTAAAGTAATTATACAATTCATCAACACTTTTTCATCTGTAACTGTGAAAATTTTCTTCGTTACCATTCTTTTAATGGAGATACTTTTTCCCTGGGTCTAGATATCTATCTGATTTAGTACTTCATATCTTCCAAAAAAATCCAAATATTTTTCAACATGAGTGATTTAACAAAGCTGGAGAACAGTCGGATATAAGTGATTATGAAGTGGAATATAAAACTCACTTATACAATATTTTTAAACACTTGAGCAAGTATTGTTAGCGTATATTTAGCTAGCTTTCTCTGCATAAAGACGAAATCGCCTCATAATGAAGTCATATATGTCGAAAACCAATAAAACCAACACTTGAATATCAATGATATGCTCACTAGCGACTTGCCCTATTCAGGTAGGTAGTTACCTGGGCTTCTGGTGAGAAGTAATGACCAGTAGGGTGCAGAAGGTCGGGTGTGAGGAAAAATACTCGCCGAAGACATTGGCTAGGGAGCGCGCTATGTTGTGAATTGGCAGAAGTTATAATTCAAGAACCATTGAATCGGGTCTCACTGGCTTAATAGTCTAGGAGTCCGCTAGCCTTGTAACCAGAAGGTTCTGGGTTCGAACCATGGTAGTGGGTATGTACTACTGAAGAGTCCCAAACGAAACAGCTGTCCAGTGCTCCCGCGTTTTCCAATGGTTGTGTAACTAATGTCAGCTCATGATGAAATCCTGTAACCAATAAGGACTGTTTTTACCCACTTCTATTACTAATGTTGGTCTCTTATGAAATCTACATCGAATATATTCCGAACCTCTAACAAACCCACGATCTGTACATATATTTATATGTCCATAAGATAAAGAATCAATCCTATCTCTTCTTTTCTTTTTTACGAAAGGCATTTATTGCAAATTTGTGATAATATACTTTATTTTTCTAATTGTCAGATCATAGTCTCCTTTTACTATTTATTCATACAAGACAGCATTAACATCCTAGAGGAAACATTTTGTCAATTTCTAGCCAAATAAACAAATAAGTTGTTACACATCAATCTTCAAGTATTGGTTTTTATGGGGATTTTGTTTGTTTGATTGGTTGGAGGATTTCATCATGAGCTGAAATCAGTTAGAAAACTGGTTGTCTGTTCCATCCAACTTATGGACTCTTCAGCAGTGCACATCCACCAAAGAAGTTGCTAAGCCAGGACCTTCTGTTTACAAGGCTAGAGATCTCGTAGACCATTGGGCCACTGAGACCATAAATTCTAACTTCTTCCAATTCACGACATAGCGTAACCACTTTATCGTCTTTGATGAACCTATGCCTCATCTTCAATCTGCTGCACCCTTATGGTCACGACTTCACACTAAAACCTCAGATCACTGCCTGAATAGGGCCAGTCGCTAGTGGGCAATAGATCGATTTTCAAGTACTGGTTTATGCAGGGATTTTTTGCTAGAAAAACCCAACTTAAAACTGTTACTTCATTGTCATTTCTTTAACTGGTTTTCAGCGCTTTTATTTAAAAACGTCAAGATAATTTTAGAATGGAATGACGAGTGCAATTCGCAGTTACACCTATCGTTTCTGAAAGTGGAACAACGCGTTATTATTATTTTTATTATTCAATGTTTTATTCCTTTACGTATTGAATGGAATAAAGGTCTTCAAGCTAGAGCTTTGGAGTTTCGCTGGCATTGGTTTTATTTATTTTTTATGGATTGTGGTTTTTAGTCTTACACTCAAACTCCTTTCTCTGTCGGCCTTACTGGTGGCTCAGCAGAGTTTTGGAGTGTGTTGGCTTGGAATCGAACCCAGGGCTAAGTTCATGGTTGGCTAGCATTCTACCACATAACCCCCCAACGTTGAAATAACGCGTTAAGAATACTATTTATGTTGTTAATATGTTGTAAAGAGATTTATTCACCGACACTGTCACACATGGTGCAGGTGATGTATGTCAATAGTAATTAAATTATGCATCAGAATTAATCCATGTCTTATCTTCTTATAATTATCCTGACAAAGCCTTTTTATTTTAAATGTAATATAAAAGGCGTGCTGTAGTTTTGTGGCATTTTCACTTAAATCGTCAGCTACTTTCAATATTTGCTTTTGCTTTACTCTACAATCTAAAATCATACTCTTTATCGAATCATGACATGCATAACTAAGCGTTAACCATATTCATGCTAAGCGTTCTGTTGAAATATAAAAATGATTTTAATCGATTCTACTTAATGCTTATTATTTTATTTTTGAAGCAGTGGCTTTCTTAGTTCTGTTGTTTGCTGTCTAAGAAAAAATTATGATTTCTTTTGAAAAGTTTCCAAAGGCAATATATTTCAGTTTACTAGAGACAATCAGTGTAATTACTTCAGATGTAATTACTTTTGTAATTGCTCCAGTGAAATTTTATTTCCTGAAAATGGAAACAAAAATTACTCATGATAAATGTGCTTTCATAGTCTTTTCCATACAGAGAACAAACAACCTTCATTGTTGCTGATGAGCAGTTTTTGTTAACTGCTACATGAGTTTATTGCTGTAATTCTTATTTCAGGATTTTTTTTCATCCTTTATTTATGTCATCATTTATCACAATATCTCTGACTGTAACAAAAAAAATAATAACAATAAATAGTCGCCATTTGTATTATACACCTTCCGAACTCACACTGACTAATTCATGCTTTTCTGCTATTCAGGCATTTCGTGTATCCACCTATGATGCGAATACTGTTGATGATATTGTTAAAGCAATTGACATTTTTATGCAAGATTCATTGGTATTGCCACTTTCACGTCACTACAATGCAAATGCTCTGGCTGGAATGACGCGACAAATAGAAGCTTATCGAAGAGAAACAGTAATTGAAAGAGACGTTGATCGACGCGTACGAGGTAAGCATTAATTAATGATAATAATATTATCAGTGCAGAAGAGAACACTGAGAGTGGGAATTAATTTCTCACCAGCCTTTTATTTACCTAAGTGAAAACTTGAGCAGTTTCGGTCTTATACTATAAGCTTGTGCAAAATGTAATTGAGAATTTTAAGTTGTATGCTAAAACCTTATTGTCGGGCTTAAGTCTTGAAGTTTAAAGGATCACTTATTTCTTCATAGAACGCGGTCCCTTTTACTATGTATGATGTGTAAACCTAATAAGGCTGAAAGAAAATCACAAATAAAGATCATCCTTTTAAACTGTATGATACTAGTTCTGTCTATTAGGCAGTCCTACTGATTGCTCTTAGTATTGTCTTTTTTAGATATCTACTTTCGGCATTTAGTTTTGTAGGGTTTCGATTTGTTTTAAGTTTCCCCACGAATTGATATCAGTTAGAGAACCGTTAAAGATCAAGAAGATCTGGAAAGCTGTTTCGTCCTTCTTTGGGTCTCTCCAACTGTAAGCGGATCACAGTAGCTGGTAGTTGTGCCAAAATCGGGAACTAGCAGGAGTTAGGATTCATATGTCATCAAAATTTTGGCCCGATTATCTGAATGGTTCATTGAATTAGGCCTCGTGATTTGAAGGTACCTGGTTGGATCCCTCAATGGGTTGTGAACACATACGTCTGGAGAGTCCTAAACTAGGAAGAAACAGCTGTCTAGACCTCTCTGGTTTTCAGTAGTTCTCTAACTGATGTTATTCTTAAAATCTACAAAATGTTTTATATATATTTCCATGGCAAACGCGTGTAAACTCAAAAAAAAATGTTAATTTTTTTCGTCATTATATCTCACATGACATTCAGATAAACAAAAGGATGGGATTTTATTGAATAAACGTCTATATAAATAGTAATTCGATTATTCGATGTGTTATCTACCATACTGACTTTATCTTATCATTATGATTTCAAAGTCTGTGTATGCGTCATTTTACTTACTTGCTACTTTAACCTCTGATTATACTTTTCAGCATAATACGATTTCCCCTCTGTCCTATTTCTTTCTTTCTTCTTCTTTTTCTGTAATATTTAAAATCAATCTAATCGTTGTTGTGATACAAATTTTCTGTTATTTCTGGATCTGTTATTATTACTACTATTAATAATGTTAATGAATCTTAGAAGTAGACATAAGCGCATAAAAAAAAGTAAAACTCTTATGCTACTGATTTATTCCACTTTTTCTTTCCTTGTTTAAAAATAGCGCTTAATTTAGATCTGTTTCATTTCTTGTTATTCTTTACAAATGATTTATATCACATCTAGTTATTTTTTTTCTTTTTATGTGTGTGCGTGTTAATTATATGCTGTATTAAAATAAAGTTAAATAGAATTAAGTTGATAGTTTCCTCCTGTTTCTCCACAAATATACCTTTGTATTATATAGATATTTTCTCCTTTACTTTCCCAGTGGAACATTGGAGCTTCAAGCCTCCAGCTTGAAGTTTCTGTAGCAGTGTTTATTTTTACAGGATAGGGTTGCCAGCCTCATTCCCAACCTTTCCTCTTTACAAGCTTTATTACTGGTTTAGTGAGGTAAAGAAGTGCGTCAGCTGGGAATCGAACCCCGGACCATGTGGATGGTCGGCGAGCGTCCCAACAGGATAATGTAATTGTCAAATTCAGTTTACTTTACTAATTGAAGTGAACATTATTCTCGTTCCCTATTTTTGATTGAAGTTATTTCCGAATCACACACGTCGACTAATTATATCCAGCCAAAATCCTTGGTCTCGTTTGACATGTCACATTTCCTAGTATAGATTCAAAAGAGGTGACTCTTATAGTCCACTGCCGTAGCCAATGTTGCTCTGACTTTTGAGATGATAGGTGCTGGGTTTGACTCCCATGGGGGCATAACTATCTTCTACTTGGGATGCAAGAACATCTTATCTAATGAGTCCCAGATACGCTCTGAAGCGCACTGCCTGAATCCTACTGTCAGTCATCATCAACCACGTGACGTCAGTGTTTCTTATTTAGTATTTAAAAGTCGTTATTATATTTTTTCCCTCACATTCCCCGGGGGAACATAGGCCTTCAAGCTAGTGGCCTGAAGTTTCTGTAGCAGTGTTTATTTTATAGGATGGGGCTACTAGCCTCATGCCCAACATTTCCTCTTTACCAGCATTAGTGAGGTAAAGAAGTGCGTCGACCGGAACTTGAATCCCGGACCATGTGTGTGGTCGGCGAGCTTGCTAACCGCTGTGCCACCGACGTCCAAAGCCCGTTATTATATAGTCTGTGAAAATTTTTACTGAAAGCTTAAGTAAGCATTTAGGTATGTTTTTAAACGTCAATTCGGAGATTTAACAAAATGGACATACCGTATTTCGCAAGTACTTTACATTAATCAGTTGGTTGCACTGAGAGAAATATTTCTGCCCTGAATAATTAGTCATCTAAATTATATATAATATACTAGCAGTTTTTATGATTGGCGTGTTTGAAATGCAAAATGTGATAACATATGGAAAATCACTGGTTTCAGTAAAGATATCAGTACATTTTGTCTCTAAAATCCTAGGCTCAGTAATCATGCATAGACTAAGCAGAACTCGGGAGGAACAGACAAGGGAAAATCAAGCAGGCTTTAGACCAGGTAGAGGGTGCATAGATCATATCTTCACTCTTCGACAGATTCTAGAACATAGACACACCTTTCGGCGTCCAACAATTGTCATATTTCTTGACTTGAAGGCGGCCTTCGACTCCGTGGACCGAAAAGTACTATGGCAATGTCTGACTGTGAAGGGAGTGCCAAGAAAGTACATTGCACTAATCAAGGCACTCTATTCAAACTCACGTAGTCGTGTAAGGGCTTATGGGGAATTGTCATCTGAATTAGTAACAACCAGTGGTGTCCGACAGGGATGTCCACTTTCCCCATTTCTGTTTAACTTCATCATAGATATGCTAATGGAAGTATCCTTAACTGAACGTAGTGACTTAGGAATCGACTTGTTACCAGGGAATAATCTAATGGACTTAGAATATGCAGATGACATAGTCCTGTTAGGGGAGGATGCTGACAAAATGCAGAGTCTTCTGAACACCTTGAGCAGCAATCTTCGTATGTTTGGCATGCGATTCGCCCCTGCAAAATGTAAGATGCTGCTACAGGACTGGACCACGTCAACCCCTAACTTAGTGATAGGGAGTGAAGTGATAGAACATGTTGACCACTTCACCTACTTGGGAAGTTGTATTAGCACCAACGGACTGATTGGCGATGAAATCTCAGCACGGATCCGAAAAGCTCGAGCTGCTTTCGCTGACTTACACCATCTCTGGCGTAGGCGTGACATCCGGTTATCAACCAAGGGACGTGTGTACTGCTCATCAGTTCGCTCCGTCCTTCTCTATGGCTCTGAAACATGGCCAATACGCGTTGAAGACATGAAAAGGTTGACTGCTTTCGATCATAGATGTCTGCGATCTCTGTCTCACGTTAGGTGGTTTCACAAGATAAGTAATGTTGACGTTAGGCGTAGAGTGTTGGGCAAAGAGGGAAAATCAATCGACGAGGCTATAAAGTTACATAGACTAAGATGGCTAGGTCACGTGGTGCGCATGCCTAACCACCGCCTCCCCCGACGGGCATTGTTAGCTGATATAGGTTCAGGTTGGAAAAGAGCCAGTGGTGGCCAAACAAAAACATGGCATCAATCCATGAAATCCTTGACAGTTAAACTGAGTCAGGTAGGGAGATGCAGACTCCCGGGTTGGGGCCCTCGGGACTCTAGGAATCAATGGCTGGAGACAATAGGTGACATGGCTCAAAATCGTTGTCAATGGCGCAGATGTATTCAATCTCTGTAATCTTTCATATTCCTTTCTACCATTACCCATTCTGTTTCACTCCTATATTTGTCAAACTCTATTAATTCTCTCCACTCATCTTCTTGTCTACCTCTGTGTGCTATTTGGAACGTGGCAACTCGAACTGCTGCACTTCGGTGCCAAGTTCTATGTTGAATCCAGACAGACAGACATTTTGTCAACAAGTTTTGGCGATAATTAAGCATTGGTTAGAAAATATTGAACGTTAGTGTTCACTGTAATGAAGACTGACTGACTAAATTTCAACATATATGTATTAGCACAGAAATGTAACACTTCAGGTTACCGCACTCAGTGTAGCACACAAAGGTAGTACAAAAAAAAGAATAGAAGAGGTTCAGTAAAACTATAATAATCATATATGTGAAGAGGAAAGAATAGTAGAATGGGGGGAGAACATCATGTTTTAGAGGATATGGAAGGTCACAAAGTGTGAATTCATCTTTGCCATTCAGAAAGATTATGAGTCTTATCTTATAATGTCTCAAGCCATCGTTCTTAGCATCCCAAGGATCCCATCCCTTCCTACGTGACTCAGTGCAACTATCAAAGACTTCATGGACTGACCTCAGGCTTTGGTGTGTTCATTTCTAACTATTTTTGAACTAAATCCTATATCAGCTAACACTGGTTGTTGAGGAGTCGGTGACTTGGCATGCACATCACATCCTAGCTATCTTATTCGATACAGTTACACAACTGTATCAACTAACTTTCTCTCCTCACCTAAAATTCTACTTCTGACCTCTGTTTTGCCCCTCGTATTATAAAATTTGACATTGGAGACAGAACGAAAACATCTATGATCAAAGACAGGTGGTATTTTCATATCTTCCGCTTTTAATGGCAATGTTTTACAGTCATAAAGGCAGACAGAGTGAACAATCACGCATTACACACGATTTTTGATCTATGGATGGATATCATATCGATGCCAGAGATGGTATAGTTTGCCGAATGAGATAAGAGCCTTTTGTATCGGTACTTTTGAATAGTTTAGGCATTCCAGCTATCCATTTATGATGCAATTACTATCGATGATGTCGAGGCAACTGACATTTCTATGTCAGATTCATTGGTATTCCCACTTTCACATAATTAAGATGCAAGTATTCTAGCTGGAATATGATTTATTCAGCAATCAGTTCTTGAGACTGACGCAACTGCACAAATAGGTGAAGTGGTAGACACGCCTTATCGTTAAGCTGAGAGTAGTTGCAGTTCAGTCCTGAAACATCATATTACACTGGCGGGAAGCAAATCACATACCAAACCTTTAAAGATTTGTGCTTAAGGTGTTCAGAAGACTATATTTTAATTAGCGTGTTCTCCTGTAACAACAAATAACAGAAAGTTAAGAATAAAATTTAGAAAAAGTTGATTTAGGCAAATTGTTACTTTTTTCTAAAGATCTGTACATTATTATTGTAAGATCCGAAATTGAGGTGTACGCACCGGTTATCTTTAAAATGATTCATCATGTGTTGTCTGCGTGTGTAGTAATTTTGTAAATATAAGGTTACTGTATTAAGATATCTGTTATTATATAGGTGGCTCACTCGAACAAGCACAATATGAGTAAACATGGAAAAAAAGCTGAATACCTTCAAAGAACCACTGATGATCAGATATTCCCAGTTACTGATGAGTCCGGATTTAAGACAGCGTTGAACTAATTTTTACGTAGTTCTGTTTTTATGGTACAGTTTCATGCTAGATGGCACACACCAGTCAGCAACGCGTATCTGCAACTTTACAGGAACTCATGTCCCTTCTGAGATTCGAGCCCGCGTCATCCTGTGCTGCAGTCAGAGGCTTTTCTCCGATTGCTCTCAACTAACCATTTAATACCAACAATTCAAAGTGCACCTTGGTGGCAAGCTACCTAGAATGGTGGAACATTGCAAACCTGACTGATAGAATTCCGTCTGCACTAAACAAAGGACTAGGTACATCACACCAATTACTAGTGTCCAGTGAAAATTCTGATAAATTTTGTAACTGTAAAGTATTCAGTGCAGTCCTACAAGAGATCAATCGCGAGCCGGTATAGCTCAGTGGTAACATCTCTGACTATATCACTGGATGACGCTGGTTCGAATCCCAGAAGGGACATGAGTTCCTTTGAAGTTGCAGATACGCCTTTCTGACTGTTGAGTGCCAACTAGCACGAAACCTAGGCCGAGTAAAGCTTCCTGCCGATTGCCTCCAACCATCTAACATTCTTACAACTTATTCGTCAAGAATAATAATATACTGATCAGACTGTGGCATGCTTTTCTTTGAGGTCATTGTAGCTTATTTCACTTTGGTAAACCAGTATACCTCGTAAGTTTGTAGATAGATTGTGTGTGTCTAAGTGTATTATCTTTAGAACGGATTTTCTGTGGTTAAATCATAACCTCATTCCATGGGTGCTAATAAGTAGTCTTTACAAGGATAACCATATTCAGTTATTAAGCTCCAGATGACACCGTACTCACAAAACCATAATTTAAAAATGTACCTATTATTATTCATGTATTTTATGATCTTCCTCTGACTCCAAGATGAATAGAAGTCTATTGAATACTCTAAATTAAGTCACTTACCTAGTTATCATTTGATGAAATATTCGTTTTTATCTAGATTGATTATCAATTCTTTATCATTAGAACATATTTATAATCTTTTGTTTTTACAGCTTTATTTACAGTAAGAAGAGTCAATGAACAATCACAGAACAATTTAGTTAATGGATCATTCCCTCAACCTTCATTCACTGTTAAACAACAAGATGGTGTAATAAAACCTGATGGAGATAAACCAACAGTTCAGCCAACTGAAATTGAAACACCAAAATCTTCAAAACGTCAAAATTTTCTACGTGATTTTTGTCCACCATTTATTGAATTAGCTCGTGGTATTAAACCATGGATTAAACGTATGCCAGGAGATTATAAAGATGCTGTGAAAAAAGAAAATATAGGCATTGTGTTTGGCAGTGTGCTGTTCATTTATTTTGTCAATTTATCTCCATCAATTACATTTGCTGCATTATTAAGTAAGTTACAACGATAAAATGATGATGATTTCGAATTAATATACATATATATATATTGCATGGAGGATTTCATCATGAGCTGACATCAGTTATACAACCACTGGAAAACCTGTGAGTATTGGACAACTGTTTCATCCCACTTTGGGACTCTTCATCAGTACGCACCCATTGGGTTCTAACCCAGGACCTTCTGGTTACAAGGCCATCGAAAGCCCTTGGTGGAGGATGGTTTCGAGCCCACGCCCTTTCAGACTGGTGCCTAAACCAGCGCCTTAGACCGCTCCACCACTCCGCTCGTCTTGTAACCAGAAGGTCCTGGATTCGAACCCTGTCGGTGGGTGCGTACTGATGAAGAGTCCCAAACTAGGGTGAAACAGGCGGCTTTCCAGTACTCCCAGGATTTCCAGTGGTTCTCTAACTGATGTCAGCTCATGATGAAATCCGCCATGCAATCAAAAAAATTCCTACAAAATCAATACTTGAATATATATATATATATATATATATATATATATATATCAATAAGACAAAGAGATGGCTGCAGCGAAGAGGTCATTTTCAACGAAGTCATCAACTAGGTCGTACATTTCTGAGTGTGTAACAAAAGGAGAAAAGGTTTCACTGCTATTTCAGGTCAAAGATCAAAATATAATGAATAATGGTGTGAAATTATGACATTTTTGACGGCGTGCTGCTCTGCCTAAATTTACTGTCCACCTAAGTGTATCGTGTTTCGTTCATTTCATATTGTTTTAATCATACACTTGTGTCTAAGAATCGTAATGTTTACTCAAGTACATTTTTAAATAGGCTCCTGAAAGAAATGGGTGCGTTGACAGCGCAGCGATAGAATGTTTGCCAACCACACATGTGGTTCAGAATTCGATCCTCAGTCGACGCACTTCTCTTCCTTGCTAAGTCAGTAATAAGATTAGTAAAGAGAGGGGGTTTGGTATGAGGCTAGCAGCTTCATCTCGTAAAAGTAAACACCACTGCCACCAGAATTTCAAGCCTTTAGCTTGAAGCCCTATGTTCCACTGGGAACGTAAAGGAATAAAATAAAAATTATTGACAGAAATGGAGGAGAAACATCGTGAGTTACTTGAGCATGCCTCGTATGAAACAATATTGCCTTATCATATTACTTAAATATTCTGTACAAGGACCAAATGCCTTAAAATAAGAAATTTTTTGAAAATTCTGTAGTGTATAAATGCATTTTACTGAATAAAGCTATTACTATTATTATAATTATAAGAAAAATAAACAGCTAATTTTGATACAAAACACGATCGTCTAATAATAACATTTTGTTGAGAATGTGGAGTATTTATGATGGCCATAGTAAGGACGAAAGGCTGAACGTGCATTTTTTGGATAAATAGTGTTGGCTTGTACTTTCGAATTGACAATGCTTCAGCTATGTTCAGATGACTTGATCACACTTCATAAGTTTCATCAATATAGAAAAAGAGTTTGAGAACTGTGACTTGATTATGAAATGATTGTAACTGATGAAAAATAAACAATTCATGAGTAATTCTCATCTAGACATGTAGTTCAGCAAAAAAGTCTGTTTTCGGCAAATTCATCCACTTAGCTGTACAATCGCATTTATATTTCATTATTTTTGTATATATATGTGTGCATTGGGTTTATTAGATCAGAATAAAAGAAAGTTATTGTCAAGATATTTCAAAAATGTGATATGTAGTCAAAAAGGGAGTTATTAATGTGCGTCGGTGGTATAGCGGTTAGGACGCTCGCCGACCATCCACATGTTCCGGGGTTCGATCCCCGGACGGCGCACTCCTTCACCTCACTGAGCCAGAAATAATGCTGGTAAAGAGGAAAGGTTGGGCATGAGGCTAGCAACCCCATCCTGTAAAAATTAAACACTGCTACAGAAACTTCAAGCCACTAGCTTGGAGCCCTATGTTCCACTGGGAACGTGAAGGAAAAATTATTTATTATTTATTATTAATGTTAATCAACACACAAACAGAAGTTGAATAAGCGTAGAACAGTTGCGTAATAAGATGAATAGTTCAGCGAGTGAATCGCAATTGGGATGCATATAGAAACAGAGAAAAATATGGAATTATGTAGGAGTTAGAAAAAAACAAGCACACAAACATCAAGTCATTAGGAGTCAAGATGGTTTTTACCATGACAGCAGAAGTGGTTGGACGATTTTCTCTTGTATACATAACTCTGGCTTCTCCAGATGAATGGTTAAGGATTCAGTAATACAACGGAGACGGAAGCGTATTGCCTTTGGTAGGTTGTCCTTTACCTAGTAGACCACTTTGAAGAAGGCTTTTGTTGAAATGGAATGATCCGTGTTGACGAGATATTCGATTATCGCCACCTATACCTTTTGTAGCTATGTGGGATAGTGTTCTTGAATCCTTTTGGCCAGGATACGCGTCGAACGGCCAATGTACAGCAACAGGTGAACAGATATATGAGCACACACAAACATCAATATAGTATTACTTATTGATGTTGTTCCGAGCACTATTCATTGCTCATGGTCATCTCCATCATATGAATAGTTTCTCATTTCTTTGTTCTTTATTCATGAATGTACTATCCAGTTGATGACCTCATCGAAACTAAAAACTTTTCGTCGTTTTTTCCTACCGATTAAGGCACATCTACATATGTTAAGTGAGATGTGAGTTCTTCAATAAATTCTATTTAAATTTTGTAGTGAATAACATTCTTTGTGAATTCCTACAAGCTAGATCTGTGTGTGACAGTTGCTTTTCTCTGTCTTTTGAAGTATTCTAACTGATCTATGTTACGTAATACATCGTGTACTTGTAAGTTTGCATCCTACACAGCCTAATCATAGTGTTTCTTGATATGTAATACTTAACAAAGTTTAATCGTAATTTGTACGTAGAAGTTAGAAAACAAGCACACTTACAATGAAATACAGAGAGATAGAGAGGCGAAAATACTTTTGAATCTTGCACAAAAGTTTGCCTGTAAAGACAAGCACCAACTTATTTTATTTCATTTACATTTAACAATAAGAGCGAGTTTTGTATCTACGGTAAATATGTCATCTAGAGATGTATATATAATCTGCAGTTCACAAAGGCCCTTGAGAGTAAGTCCTATTAAATCCAATTTTTATGCATGTTGATAGTTTACAGAAAACTATATCTACAGATATCAGTTGTTTCTTCAATTCTATGAAATAAAAGCTGGGACTAATCAGTGTAGAATTTAGTGAAAATATAGACAGACTTCCAAAAGCTTATCTATTTGATCTCTCAAAATAAAAAATATGTCGAAATATTGCTGTTAAAACTTTCTACTACAGATATTTATTAAACACGGCTTTCTAGCCAACGGTAGATCATTTACAGCTTTATTAAAATCACTTTAGTGGTCACTTTAACGACATTTCCAAATCTTAATCATAATCATCATTCAGCTATTCGTATGCTTTATAATGCCGTATTTTTGCGCTGAATGTGGATTTTGAATGCGGAGCTTCACTGTCCTTCTAGATTGCATTTTCAGTGAATACTTCATTATGAAGTGTTTTTTGAATTTCCCACGGATAATACGGCTCTCTTGTCTGATGACCTAGACCGAGACTGTTTTTCTTCTATGGTTTTCTTGTGATAGATAGACAGTTTTTGAAAAAATTTTTAGCCATTTTGACTTATTGTTTATTAACTGATAAATATGATCCATATCAACATGTCGATTGAGCTAAGACTGATTTTGATGCAAGGTTAATGGGAACTTCCTGGCATTCTTAGTATTTCTTCAGTTTCAAAAATGTTCACATTTTACCATTCGGGTCGATGTTCTTAGCTGCTAACCTTTACTGACACGGAGGAATACAGGTAAAGTCTCTTTACGGCTAGTTTATGGTCTTCAAATGGAAGCCGAATTGTAAGTCGACTTTGACATGTGCAATGGATGCAGTTGATCACAACCACGGTCATCAGGAGAGGCAGTCATGCTATTCTAATTGAATTTTAGATTTTCCCGTCGATTGATTGGGCCGAAGTGCTCAGTCTGAGGTTGATATGTCGGCCTCTTGTGCAGATGCTTTGACGATGTCTGAGGATTGGTGGATGGTGACTAGCAGTGGAATCCACGATGCGCATTTCGTCCTATTTGGGACTCGTCATCCAGACGTACCTGCATTTCCCAGTGAATGATGGTGTTCCCACCGAGGCCCGAACCCAGTTCCCGTGGCTTCAATAGGCGGGAAAATCTTGAATTCAATTAAATAAACATGACCCGTTGCACAAGAGGTGGCTCTCGTGGCACAAGTGGTCTAGTGTATAGCGCTTTGGCGGTTAAAGCTATGGGTACTGGGTTCGAGCCTCAGTGGGAACATCATCACTCACTGAGAAATGCAGGTACATCCAGCTGACGAGTCCCAAATAGGACGAAATGCGCATCCTGGATTCCACTGCTAGCCACCATCCACCAATTGTATACTAATTAAATGGCCAGACATCGTCGAGGCGTCTGCACAAGAAGCCGACATGTCAACCTGAAACCGAGCACTTCGGTCCAATCAATCGACGGGAAAATCGAAAATTCAATTCAATAAGTTATGAATGTTATTAATCAAAGCTTAGGAAATAATCTGAGATAATGGCTCTGTATCCTGAGGGAAATATCATTTTCATCCTTCCGTTGTGATAAATTGTTTAGTTCCTGTTGCTTTCTTTATCTTGCTGTAATGATACAGATATATCCTAAACTATACTGATGATGATAGCTACTTATTAGTCATAAACGTTCATTCATTTCAGATCAACACATCGATTTATTTCTTTTGACATTTTATTTGATTATTTATTACGGTTGGTAATAAATTTCAGTTGATACATAGGAGCATTTTTCTTAAATGCCTTTTTTTATATGAAACACTGAATATATTCACCCAGTTAATGCTTTATCCTAAGATTATTTATTGTATTAGTCTTCTCATGTATTCATTATTTTAAAAAAAT